AAAACTCATTTCCAGAGTACGCCAGCCAGTGGGTGCTATTGGCGCTGCGCTTGTGATTCCCCCCCAGACGATTTCTTGTCTCAATTCTTTGCTTCAACTGGGATCGGGCTGCTCAACTTTCCGAGAGGCGTAAAGTGCGGAGATATACCATTGATGCAACCTCTCTCTATTTCCTAGCAGACAAAGGGCTAGAAAACCTCATTCGCACACAGATGAAACAAGAGTCTATTGTCTACGGCCACAGAAGTACGATGGCTGCACTCTTGGGGTTCTCTTAACTACCTACGATGGTGTCAGCATCACTGAAGGTCTGAAGCACAGGAAATATTGGCGAGATACAAGGACCGGACACCGTTGTCCTGGGCTGCCCAAGAGGGTTGACTGAGCATGGTGGAGGCTTTGATCCAAGGAAAGGCGGACATCAACGAAAACGATAGAGACGCTTCACACTTCTTTTACGGGCCTTAGAAAATGAACAAGGGGCCGTGGCGCGGCTTCTTATTGACAAGGGGGCAGACGTCAACGCTCAGGCGAAGAATGGACAGACGGCACTGTCACGGGCCTCAAAGAAGAGATGCAAGGATATATTAAGGCTTCTGAAAATTGTCTAATTAGTTCTGGAACCTTTTGAGCACACAGGAAACTCTATGGACAAAAAAAGGGCGGTAGATGCCAATTAAATCCGACGTTCAGACAGCGTGTTCTCAACTTAATGTGAGAATTAAAGCAGGATTCTGGGCCAGCTACACGGGTGCAAATGGCCTGATCATGCCGCTTCGGCCCGGCGAGTAGATCTGTGGGCTCGCCTGACCCAGATACGGGGTGCGGCTGATAGTGCGGCGAATCTCAGCGTCGTCCTCCTCCTTGTCGTCGAGGTCCATGCTCGGCAACTTGACGGCGCGGTCGAGAGCGACGGGCAAGTCGCGGTGGCGGCCGCGGAGCATGACGAGAATTAAGACGAGTTTGCTGCCTGGGCGCCACCCCCCGCTGAAGGCGTGTGAAACCCGCGGCAGCCCGACGCTGACGCCGTTGTTGGCGTAAGCCGACACTATCTCGAACAAGATGTTGAACAAGCTGTAGGCCGCCGGGTCCTCCAGCGTGTGCGCCGTCTCAATCACCGTCACCAGGAAGAAGGCCAGCGCCACCCACCACACGTCGTGCGACAGCTGGCTGCGCACGTGGTGCGCCATCAGGTCCGGCGCCTGCGTCTCTTCCTCGTCCGCGTCGTCGTCATTGTCACCGACGTCGTACCGCGAGTTGACGCTGGCCGTGCTGCTACTGCTGCTACCACCACCGCTGGTCTGAATGTAAGGGGTGGGCTGCGCGCTGTTCTGAGTGCTATTGATGTTGAACCTCTTCTGCCGCCTTGGGCGCTGCTTGGGGGCGACCCCAACGCCCTGAAACTCCGTCATGCGCCGCTTCAACTGCCGGCCGAGGAACTGGCCGCTTTCACGGCCGATACCGACGATCTTGTCAATTCCGCCCTTGGAAGCGGTCGATAACCGTGAGAATCGGGACGCTTGCGAAGCAAAGGACCTCGGAGACTGGGGTTGCTGTCCTCCATTAATCGGTCCAGGGGTAAGGAACAAGCCGCCGCCGGCGGTTGTCACCCTTTGTGCCTTTTCTTTCTTCTCCTCCTTCTTGACCTCATTATCGTCGTCGTGGGCCTCTTCCGGTTCATCTCCGGCGTAAATGCCAAGCGACCGTTCCTCATATACGTTGGAGCCACGAACAGTAATCGAGGTCGGGTATGCCGAAGCGTACATCTTAATCAGCCACAGCACCTGTAGACCAAAGTAGACTGCGGACACAGAAACAATAGAGAAACCGGTAGACAGGATAGCTGTGTGAGGTCAGTATCTGATGACTCCTCGCGCAGGTGGAACCGAAGTGCGTCTGTGGATGGGAATGCACTTACAAACAGACTGGAAGAGGCCATCCAGGACCCGCGGACCTGTCGGGATCTCCTCTAGCGCCTTGTTTCCAATATTGAGCAGAAAGAACATGATCCAGTCGACGAGCAAAAATGCGCCCAGCCACAGCCCCAGTGATATGGTCGGTTGCGCGGGGAACATGTTGATGTAGACACGCCGGGGGTAATGCAGAATGAACTCAAATGTTTCTTTCCACACCTCGTAGTTGGGATTGTCAGTCAAGAACTTGAGTAGGCGCGAGCACACCCAGATAATCGCACGCAAAAAAATAGGTGACGCCTGACTGCCAACCAGCATGAGCACAGCAACGACAAGTACCACAAAGTAGTAACCAGTCTGAAAGACTGACATGCCTGCGTCCAGCAATGACATGCCCGAATTGCTGAAGGCCGACACGGCCAAGAAGATGCCCGTCCACCAGGCGTTCTGCTGGTTGGCGGCCGGAATGTCGGGCGCGTTGACCGCTAACCACGCCCCAAGAGCCACGGCTCCGAGCGCCTGCCAGAGCACGTAGTACAACGCAACTGTGACCACCAGCACTTCGATCGCCCGGTACTCGACGCCGCCAAGATACTCGCGCTCTTTTAGCGTCAGGTTGAAGAACTCGCCGTTCCTGCCGACGTTCTTCCTCTTTTCCTGTAAGAAATTGCGGACCTCAGTAGTCCGATCCTGATTGAGCCCCGTTGTCGCTTTTGCCGGCGGTGCCGCGGGTGCCGTGGGTGCCGGACGAGGCGGCTCGACGATGACGACGCTTCTTCCCCCCGGACTGTTTGGCAAGCGGCTCTCTGGGATTGGCGCAAGACCCTCCTCCACATCTCGTTCGTTCATCCGACCCTCCGCGGCCGACACTCCTCCTGTCGAGGACTGGTTCGGCCGAATCCGACTCCCTAGTCCTGGAAGCTGCTGGTTCTCGTTGCTCTTTGATTTACTCTTGCTCAGGGACTTCAGCCGCGCCAGCGCAAGAAGATCTGAAAAGCCGGAGTATAACCAGACAGTCGAGCCCGCCTTTAATTTTCTCTCCCTCTCCTTCTTCACGATGGCGCGGAAGCGCTTCTCGAAGACGTGTCTTCGAAACAGAACCGTCCACAGCGATACGAGGATGGGATGCCCGAGCAGCATGGCGAGGAACAATACGATCTGCTGCCCAAGGGACATCTGGCTGAGGTTATGCGTGTTCAAGCCGGTCGACGTGAGGGCGGACGTCATCATGAAGAGACTGTCGAGGAAGCTGATTTTAAGGGTGGATGATGACCCACATCCCCAAAAAACGAGGGCGAAGAAGAGACAAGAGAAGATGAAGTAGGCATAGTGAACCGTGATGAAGTTAATGGGAGGGAGGTATGGCCGGATCTTCTCAAACCGCTCGGCCCAGCGGCCGCCCGAATGCCGCTCGCGAAAATCGTCAAGCCATTTCATGGCAGATAGTGAGTACAACCACAAAAGAAACAAAGAAAAAGTAATAAAAAAGGTAAGGTAAAAGAAAGAAAATCGTCTCGTAGACGACTGTGGTGTTGCCTCTTTAAGATACGGACGGAGTGACGATACCTCGCCTACCAACGCTCCCGGAATCCAACGTACCTCCTAAATATCACAATGGCTGCGCCGTATCATCACGATCCAAGCGGCGCGTCAAGTGAAGGCAGAAGCCAAACAAGCGATCCTATTGGAATGGGAAGTCCGAAGACTTGTGTCCACGAGAGTAGGGGGAATACGCCCCAAGTTTCAGGACCCAACGGTGGAGCAGGGTGCTGAGCCGCATAGCTATTTATCCTACTTGGTGAACTTTTTGTTTCGAGACGAGGGCTTAGCTTTCTGTGGGTGTCCTTCTCTTATTCTTCTGTCTCCAGAATTTGCGGCGCAGTCGACATGAAACCAACCCAGCTTGATGGTGTTGGGCGTTGGCGGCCCGGAACCAGTTCCATCCAATCGTGCACCGTGCGCCATTGCACCATTTCGCATTTGCAATTGGAAGAATTGGACGATTAAATAGGTGCTTGAAATTCTCCAGGCAGCCTAGGGTTGAGTATGAGGAAAGAGTTTTGCAGCGCCAAAACAAAGTGCTTGCTCTTGCCTTGCCATTGCGCTGTTTCGCACATTGGTGGCATGCACGTCGAAAAGAATTGCTGAGTCATTGTGTAAGCTGAGAGTTCCAAATCCGTCTGGGGCTGGATCTGAACCTTGTAGGACCGCGGAAGTGGCATGGAAATCATGCTTATCCTGTCTAGGTAAATGTTAGTACTCACTTTTAAACTCCGACGGGACAGTCCTGGTACTGTACGTATCCTCCCTTTCGGGTCAAGGTTGTACAACGATGCGTCGGATTTGAACACTACAAACCCTGACCCTACCACCACATACTTACAGTACCAGTGCCGAAAAGATAGTATTCTCATCTCACCACTCAAACAAAGCCCTGTAATACCTAAAAAAAAATCTCAGGCTTGCTTTCATCTCGCTCTCCTCACTCAAGCATTGGAATTTGTGTACCTACATACCTACACGAGCGCTACTCATGAGCACCGATTTCGCCAGTCATATGGATAAACATGGAAAGTCTGGAATAGCGTCTGTAGGAATCAGGGGTCTGTTATTTTCCATTTTATTTTCTCTCTCAGAATGAATCTTGGTTTCACCTCGACAGCGGTACAGTCATCAATCAAATTGACATTAGTCAGATTGGTGAGATGATTTGCTGTTTGAACCTTTTCTGGGTTTTCGAGTTTCATCATATTAAGTTGACAGAATGGAAGGGACTTTTGCGCGATGCCACATTTGTTTCGAAACGTGATCATGGGGCTGACCGAGCCCACCATGCGCGCCTGCCGAGAAAACGGCGAGTATTAAACATAATATGGGCCATGCATATGATTCGGTCCTATCATAAACACGAAATTCATTCATGTGGTGTGAATACAGCTACTTGAAGCGGTTAGATATGATACAGATCTTGGGCCAGATGTATCCTCAATACGTCCGATTACCTTAGCCAGCATTGACAATTATATATACCCAAAATTGCCACGCCTGCCACAGCAACTCGCTACGGCTGGTGCTCACACCAGCAAATCTTCCGTAGTATAGTGGTCAGTATGTGAGCTTGTCATGTCAAACTTCGCTCGAGACCCGGGTTCAATTCCCGGCGGGAGAGTTGCTTTTTTCTTGCATCATATATACATTCAATATCTCAATATCTCGCGTCTTTTGAGAGTTCACTTTTGTTGTCTTCCAATGCAAATTACCCGCGACACGTTTTCGCCGCTTCTGTTCGGGGATCTTCAAATCGAAGAATTGGCGTGACATCCCATCAGTCCACGGCTATTCAGTTTGTGATGGGTGGTGGGGTCAAGCCAAACTTACCTATCCTCTCAAATTCCAGGCAGTCAACGGCTCCCATCGGCCGTCGGCGACCAGCGGACTGCAGTGGCGGAGTCAGAAGCCCCGCCCATGTGAACAGCTGCGAACTGCGTCTGGACCTGCTTTTTAGGTGCACGCGGCCGCTCGGCATCGCTACGGCTTGTGGGGAGACCTTCCTTTTCAGGGGATTTTCAACGGCGAATTCTCATCGCCAAGTAAAAGCTAGGTCGGAGCCACTTCCAGGCCGCAACCGCAAAAATCAAAAAGGATCTCTTCGTATTTTTCTTCAACACTCACTTCAAAAACCTTCATCGCCATTCAGCCCGCATCTATCTAGTTTTTTCCGATTACCAACAGCATGTCAACGCAAGAACTCTCTATGGACCTCGCGGTCATCGACCTGGACGTCTTCCTTCATCAGCCCCGCGACTCCCCCGCGGTGCAGGCCGAGTGCGCCAAGGCGGCCGACGCCCTCATCACATATGGCGCGCTTGTGCTTCACGACTCACGCGTGTCGGAGCAGGACAACGACACCTTTCTGGATTTGCTAGAGGACTACTTTGCGCAGCCGGAGGAGGACCTGAAGAAGGATGAACGGCCTGAGCTTGCTTACCAGATCGGTGTGACCCTGGAGAACACCGAGAAGCCCAAGTGCGCCGTCGACGAGCCGTGCCTGCGGGTTATCGAGCGCCTGGCCCCCTCGGAGCGCCCACTCGATATCTCGGCTCACTCGCCAGACCCCAAGTGCAGGTTCTTCTGGCGCATGGTCGAGCAGCCCCCGTACAAGACGCAGTTTCCCGGGTTGAACGCTGAGAACATCACACCCGAGGCGCCGCATATCAGGGAGCGCTGGGGGCCGGTGATGAACCAGTGGGGAACGTCAATGAAGAATGCGTAAGTACATCACCAGAATAAAAAGGTGCAAATGGGAGTCTCAACAAGACGTATGCTGACCAAACGGACGGACAGGGTGGAGGGACTCACCCAGATGACTGCCGTTGGCCTGGGGCTGCCAGCAGACACATTTAAGGATGCAGGCCGATACGGGTATGTATTATGCTGCTTTCTTTTAGTAATTCCTCTCGGGTTCAATTCAAATTGCCTTCACAGTTTTCCTGGTTTCTAACGTCGAACAAAAACACCAGCCCCCACCTCCTCGCGCCGACGGCGTCGGATCTGCAAAAGTACGGCCAGAAGGACACAATCCTGGCCGGGTTTCACACGGACCTCAACTTCCTCACCATCCACGGGCGCTCGCGGTACCCGGGCCTGCACATCTGGGCGCGCAACACCGGCAAGCGCATCCCCGTCAAGATTCCGCAGGGCAACTACCTGCTGGTGCAGGCGGGCAAGCAGCTCGAGCACGTCACGGGCGGGCTCGTCAAGGCGGGCTATCACGAGGTGGTGGTCAACGAGCGGACAGTGCAGGTAATTGAGGACCGCCGTGCCCGCCTGCCGCACCGGCCTTTGGTGCGTATTTCGTCTACCTTCTTCTGGCACCTGTCGTCCGACTACGACCTAGTGCCCGTCCCGGAGCTAGCCGAGCGGGCGAAGGCCGTGCGGGCGCAACAGTTTAACCTGGGCAAGAACGAGGGTGATGAGGTTGAGTACCCGCCGATGAAAGTTGGCGAGCAGGTGCAAAGGTCAGTCTCTTTGTGTTTCTCCTTGTTTACCTTCTTTTTACTCTTTTGCTTTCAATCTGTTGTAGTCAGGGCTCCAGACTAACCTTCTGTTATCGAAGCGAACTCAAGCATATTGCTTTGATGGCGTCCAGCTAGGGGGTTCCTAAGCCAGTATCGTAGCTAGATGTCCGTTGAAACAAAAAAACATATAACTACTGGGTATGATAATCCATGGCAAATATGAAACGTAATCTAAAGAAGTTGAAATGCAAGCAAGATTCTGAGAATACCCATCGCGTAATGGTCGGATAGTCTGGACCCAGTGAGAGAGAAATCTTACGCGGAGAAATTTTCGTTCTACTGAGTATCAGAGAGTGAACTCCTGGCTTATGAAGTGATTCGAAGAATTGGACAACTAGGTGGACTAGTTATAGAAAAGAGAATTGTCACTCTCTAGGTTACAATGGCCTTTATGTAGCTAAAAGTCGGGTCAGTCTCCAATCAACCAGCAGCTACGGCAGGTGTCCACACCTGCAAATCTTCCGTAGTATAGTGGTCAGTATGTGAGCTTGTCATTCAACAACGCTCGAGACCCGGGTTCAATTCCCGGCGGGAGAGATCATTTTTTTTTCCGTCTATCGACGATAATCCCTTTTATTTTCACTTTTCGATTCCTTTCCCTCAATGCTCCTCCCCTGCTCTTGGAGACTCATTTGATTTTGCCCCAATTCTTGGCCACAGTCGAGCGGGCAACGTTGGTTTTGGCCCCCAAAAAGCCTAGGGACTTTGAGGACTCCAATCGTATATTATCAGGAGTTTCTCTGGCCATCGTGTGGACCGTAAATGTCTGATTTCCAATCCTCCATTGCCCAGACGTCTGCAATATTGATAAAGTAATTGGTTGAAGAGAATTTGGTGGCCCAGGAGTTTCATGAAGCCCCTCACAACTACCAGGCAGACACAGGCAGCACTCTCCCGTTTCTCTTGCTGGTTGGCTAGCTCCAAGAGCATTGCAGTTTGGTAGAGGAATTGCGGCCGCTTTGCTGTCCAAGCTTGTCACTGAATATCCTACCATGCGCAGGCACTGTCCGCCTCACGCGGAGGCCACTTGAGGCACTTAAGGCTCATGATATATATGGCCTCAAAATTTGCTGGGCACTTAACTTTCCTCGCCTCACCGCCGTGTCAAGCCTCAGCATCAACACACAATTCAAATCCCTCCTTAAAATCTTTGGCCAAAAAAACAACCTTGACAATCAAGGCATCATCACCATGGCAATCATCACCGCACCAGCCCCGGACTCGGAGACCGAGGTGATTGTTTCCGTCGACGAGATCTCAGATTCGGCTGCTGAAAATGGCCCAGAGACGCCAACCAAGGCCGCAGGCACGTCAGCTGCTGAGGTGAAACCGGCCGCAGGCGAGAATGTCAAGGCCGGTGCTGACGACGACGACGACGACGACGCCGTAAACACCGGAGAGAGCTTGCCTTCCTCGAAACTCGAGGAGGCCTCTGGCAAGGCTGAGATCGCTCCGACCCAGTCGATTCAGAAGCTCTATGAACATAGATGTGCCTACGAGGACTGCTCGGCCCGCTGGTCCAAGTCCGCCGTCAACCAGGAGGAGCAGGATGAGCTCGTGGCCCAAGTCCGCTCCACGCCCATTGTGCACCGCCACACCTACCAAAGAGACGAGAGGGAGTGGGTGACAAAGTCGTTTGAGGTCAATTGCGGCCACATGAGAGCCTTCCTGTCTGAAGCCCTTGCCGACTACCAGGACCTGGACTTGGACTTGGAGGGCTGGTCCTTCGCTCCGCCATACAACCCGCTTGTCCACCGTTGGGAGCGTATTCTGGGTCTCCACAAGGAGCTTCAGACCTGCGAAAATGACTCGGACAAGAAGAAGGCAGTCGACCAACTGGTGGGGTTCTTGCAGCCCCTTCTTGCTCCGTCGATTTCCGACCTGGCTAACACGCAGGACACTGGCCAAGTCGAATACGACATGATCTGGCAGATCTTCCCACCGGGGGAAATTGTGCTAAGGAATGTCGCGGGCGTCGATGCCCTGCACCGCGTTGCCAAGGCGTACAAGTCGGAATCCGAAGAGGTGGCCTGGGTGATCACCCTGGAATATGTGGACTGGGACGGCGAGAGATGCGGCTTGCGGACAATGGAACAGTCCATTCCGTTCTATACCGGGGTCCAACGGGTCACGTCCTTGCCGGTGTACCCCTTATCCTATGCGAAGGACCCAGAGCAAATCAAAGAATCCGTGAGAGCCCGTGGCCGCAAGTTCCAGCAACTCAGGGGTTACCATTTCCTCCAATACAACGGCATCAAGCTGGCGCTCGACTCGGATAAGAAGGAAACAGTGAGTTAGGGACGATTCCGAAGGTGTCACACTGCCCTCGTTCATCTAACAGCCTCGTTCTTTTCCTCAGATGGGCGGCCGGGTCATGATCGACAGCCACGCGTATTACGTTAGCAACAACTACCTCAAGCCCGACATGGAGCCGCTGCCTGCCAAAGCCACGGAGAGTGACACACCCGAAAGCAAAGAGGGAGCTAACGAGAACGACACGGGTGATGGCGAGATGCGGCCCGCCGAGAAGATCACCACGGCTGATCGAAGCACGTATGGACGGGTCGAGGATCTCAGCGAGCTTCCTGACGAGTATTGTCTTCTCACCAACCCTCTGGTGATAGGGTTCGACCTCAGGGCCAAAGACTGGGGTATGTGCCCCGTACCTATCTCCTTACCTTGGCTTGGCATGCTCCGCTTTAACTAACACTTGTGATGCAGCTGAGTATCATATCGACAACCTGGTGCTTCCCGGCGGTGAAAAGGAGCTGGCCTGGGAATTCGTACAAAGCAAAACAGCCTCCAAAGAGAATTTTGATGATTTTGTGTCCGATAAGGGTGAGTGGACTGGTCGCCGGATACTGAAGGTATAGCGAGGCATGTTGTTGACTCAGAGTGTGTCAAGGACGAGACATCACAATCCTCATGTTTGGGCCTCCAGGAGTTGGCAAAACGTATAGAGGCTGGTAAGTAGACCTCGGTTTTCATCCATTCTACAACGAAATGGGTTAGCTAATTCACAACAGTGGCCGAGAAGGCGCGCGTCCCTCTCTATCGCATGAGCGCCGGGATGCTCGGTACCAACCCGGAG